TAATCCAACGGTTATTGATCCGGGTGTATCGCGCTAACATGGACAGCGATACACCGGATCAATCTAACACTCCCAATGGCCAGGATGTGCGCGCACACCAACCTGCAGTACGCCGCAACACACCGGATCACTCCGGTCGTCTCCCCCATTGCCGGCGACCAGAAAACTCGCCAGAAGGTCGCCGGAAATTGCAGAAAAGCCCCGGAAAAATCTAGAAAATTCTAGAAAAATCCCTAAAGCCTTATTTAATTATTTTCAGCCATTATTAATTTCATAGGATATTAAATAAATATATACCGTCCTATATAATTAAAATTTCATTAATTTAATAAACTAAAATTAATAATTTATTAACCTCCTAACCTGGTCTCTATGCATAAAAATAAACTAAGCAATTAATTTATTAATTCAAAGGGGAAAAGTAGATAATAACTTGCTTTTTTGGATTTAAAATAAATCCGCCGGTTGCGCATAGTCGGGTAAATTTCTCCTACACCGGTCCAAGCTCCTTTCTTTCTCTCTCTTCCTTTCCACACTTTTACAATGGCTCACTAAAAGTTATAACTTTTTCTAACTCCCTTCCATTCCTTCTAAGGTAGGCTAGCTAATTTATATACAATTTATATAATATAAATATTACAAATATCTAATTTTGCATTTAACTAACCACATTCCCAACCATATGGCTTCAAGTCTTACCCATAAACATTAATGAAATCCTATCCTAATCTCTAATTTCATCATGAATTATGATTTAATACTATTATTATTATAATAATAATAATTATTATTATTATTATATTATTATTATTATTATTATTATTATTAAACTATTATAATAATAATTATTATTATTACATAAGAATACATTATATCATCGTAAAACTTTATAACACAAATATAATACTTTAATTAACTAATAATGCTTAATTAAACATAATCAACAAATAAAATTATTAATAATAATACATGCACCATTAAATGAACTCAATGGTAAAGAAATCTACACATTAATTAATTCAAATAAACTAAACTCTTTAATAAAATACGGGGTATTACATGAACCCACGAAAAACCCAATCGAACCCATGAAAATCTCAAATCATAGCCATCGGTCACTCTTTAAAATGAAAATCATAAAGGAAACAGATCTACGGGTGTTTTGTTTTGAAGGTCGTCTTGGAATTTCCATCATTGGGATGACCCGTTGATTAGCTTTTCTTAAATTTCCCCAGTGACTTCGCCGCCATCGATGTCCTGATGCAGTACGTTCCCGATGGTGGGTAGGTGATTTTCTTCTAGATTTTCTCTCTTTATATCTTTTATCCTATTCCCTCTGTGTATGCTGTAGTATGTGTGGCTGATGCAGTATATGTGTGTTTGATTGAGCCCATTTCAATTAATTTATGGAAAGTAAAAACATATTTGGTTAATAATGACGTTGCGGGTGGTGGTGGTGGTGGTAGTGTAGGAGGTTGCATTGATAATGATGGGAGGTTGCGGGTGGTGGTGGTAGTGTAGGAGGTTGCACTGACAATGATGGGAGGAAACATGGATGATTTTCCGATGACTTGGCTCAGTGTCGTCCCAACTTCTTTGTCTCCTTGGAAACGCATGATTCGATTGATGTGTTTAAAGAAAGAAAAGAGGAGTGATGTGGTAGGAAAGTGATGTGGTGTACCAGAGGTAAAAATGAAACTTCCCGATATACATTATCTTTTATTTTTTTAATTAAAAATAAATACTTTAATTTTAAAGTTAAAAATATAAATTTATATTATTATTTTTTTTTGTAGTACTATAATTTCTATTTACATACGTAATATAAAAATCTCTTGAATGGTTTGTGTAATTTGCCCAAAACTTATTCTTATTGAAAACTGTGACTAACTTCATGAATGTTGTGTGCAAATGCGTTGCACAAGTGTATAACATCATATTGCATCATCATCAACGTGGTGTGTTGTACGAAGTGTTGTCAATGTAATGTAGTATGATATTGGGGAATTAAAATGCTGTTGCATAGAAGTAATAAAATTCTTAGTTGAATGGCAGTGTGGTCCCCACATGATTGATACCCTTCATGCATCCTTTAATATGCAGTAAATATGGCCACGTGTCCAACCCATCCCCTACTCCTAATCACGAGGCAACTCGCCGTGTCTCTTGATCTTAAAAACGGCAAAAGAGAACCAAAAAAAATTCATAAATTATACCATTTTTGTATAATATTTCTGGAATTACTTTTTGGAGCAACTCAGCCTTCACGTTACATATTATTTTCTTGACAACATTTTTGGACCACTGAAGATTAATTCCCGACCAAAGATACAACTATTAATTTATTTCTTACTTATTAATTTATTATAAAAAAATATAAAATATTATAAATGTAAAATTTTGATAATACCTTCAAATTTTAATTTTTTTCTTCATTGTCTTTCTCTCCCCACAGATTTATCTTTCCTCTCTTTCTCTCTCTACAGGTTTCTCTTTCCTCTCTTTCTCTCTCTAATCTAGATGAAGCTTCGTTTGGTCGCCATTGATGAAGCTTTTCAGTAGTAAATGGTTTTTAGCTCAAAAGAGGATCTGCTAGGGGAAGGATGATGAAGAAAAATATAAAAATTTGAAGACATTATTGGATAAACACTTAATCCATTTAGAATTAAATGCTAAATTGAATAATTAAATACTTAATTCATTCAGAATTAAATGCCAAATTGAATAATTAAATAACACCTAAATCGTGCCATAAAGTCACAAAATATGCAGAGCCTTCCTTGTTTAGATTGAATTGGATTAGGTTGATAAACTAAATAGATCCACGTGTGTCCCTATTATATAAGGTAATGCAAATCAATAATTCAACTATGTAAGCTAAAAAAACAGGTACGAATAAAAATTGTGAAAACAAAATTTAAAAATATACCACCCTTAGATTTCATTTATCCGTAAGATCATACTACTAATACTAACACTATTAAATCAGAACCCCACCTCGTGTAATTATTAAGGAGGGTTTCTTGGAAATCGACCTTTTTAAATTTTGTTTTCAAAGAAAAGTGTTGTAACACAATCAATTAAATGACGTTTCAAATAGTTTATTATTATTATTTTTAAATATAAACTATTATGGAGTATAAAAAATGAAATAAAATACTTTCATAATTTATGAAAAATCGTATATCTTTTTTTAAAAAAAAGCATTGAGAGAGAGATATAGGGCCTTGATGTTTGGACAAATCACAAACAGTATTAATTCGTTTGTGACTTTTAAGTATAAAAAGTCAATAATGTCCTAATTTTTATATAAGAGAAAAATAATAATTTATTTATTTATTTATTTTTTATCAATACTAGGTGATGGTGTTGAACACATGCATCAAATCGGTAAGAAAGTCAAATTATTTAATATTAAACGACTTAGCATGTATAATTTATTCAAATCTAAAGAAATGCCAGTGTAATTGATCAATCATGGTTTCACCCTCCAATATTTTTATGCATCTAACCCTTTGGTCACAAGCTCCTATCCACAAAGATACGAAGTTTCAATTTATCACATTGTATTCAAGAAAAGAAATCAAGACTCAAGAGTATGTTTCAAAATGGGATAATATTACAATGTTGTAAAGAGGACAATAATAGAATAAGATCTTATTGAAAAGGCCGAAAAAGGGGTTGGTAAAAAGGGGGACAAAAAAACTTTATTTGAAAAAATAAAAAAATTATCAACAAACATTAGTTCAATTTATATTAGTCATCCTTTTCAGTGAAACGTTGAGGATTGAATTTGTTAAGAAAATATGTAATAACAAGTGCACTGAAAATATAGTTTAAACCACACTAATCTTTTATCTATTCATGATAGTGAAAATCGAAACCAAGTCAAATTTGTTTGACGCAAGAAAAACTTGTTAGAATTTAATAGAAATAATTAAGAAATTATTAAATCATTTGACATGTGAATAAATTTAATCAAATTATTGTTAGAATTTCTTTAAAATATATTAAATACTATTATAAAATATTTTTTTAATTCAAAATTTTGAATTGAATTGACTCACCGGGTATCGATCCTACAATTTGTCGTAATACAAGAAAAGATGGTCCACCAATCATAATCAGCCCTTTAATATCAACTTCATAAAGAAAGCTTTCAGTTACGAGGATGGTCGGTTTAACAGGGAGAGCAAAAAGGTTAATATGTCGAAAACACTTAATGGTCCTATTATTAAGTGGGACCAAGAGGATATATGTTGTGAATTGTCATCATCACACTCTTTTAACATCACAACTGTTCAATTTCCTTTGTTGGGTGAAGTAGCTTTTCCGTATTTATATCATTAGAGACTGATTTTTCAATTGTTTTACCAATTATATATTAAAAAAAAAAAAAAAATTGATGATGAAGTTTTAGCTTTGATCTCTTCTAACCCGCCAGTTAACGTTGGGATATGTGCCCCTCAACTTTAAAGAAATTATATTTTTGTATCTATAATTTTTTAAAATTGTCATGCACTTAATTTTTTATTTTATTTTATTAAACCCCTGAACATATTTTTTGTCTTGTTCCCTAAGTACAACAATCACATTGGCAGAACTTTATATCAAAATTTAGTTAGTATAGATCATATAGCTCAATCAAACTAATATGTGTGTGTGTGTGTATATATATATATTTCAAACTAAAATTTTATGTTTGAGTTTGACTAACTCATATGATTTTTTATTTTAAGTAATTTAGACATAATTTTTGTTGCATGACATAAGAACCAAAGTGAAGGAGAGAGTTCATGTTAACAAAGGGGTGGTTGCTCTCACCTTAACATATCTATTGGCTGGCCGTGAAACGAAAACCGAGAGCGGAGTTAGGCAGAGCTCAAAAAGACCTCGTTTTGATCCCTAAACCGCAGACAGTAATGTACATGTAATGGCACGTTTATCAAATCCACACTCTCTCACTCTACTTCTCTCTCTCTCTCTATATACACACACACTAATTTACACGGACTATGTATAACTGTGTACGTATGCACGGTTGCGCGCACACAGAGTAATACGCAACACAAGAACCGTCTCTAAACGCATTTTCGTGGTTGCATTCTCTCTCTCTATCTCTCGTGGCTTCACGCGCCCTCTCTCTCTCTCTCTCTCTCTCATCTGTGTCAGAATTTGATGATTTCTTCGTCAGAAGGCATACGAAGATGAGATCGATTGCGAGCTTTCCTTCTCTCGATAATGGTGGAAATACGAAGATTTAAGCTCAAAAACAGGTAGTCGTTTTTTTTTTTTTTCTTAAATAATTAAATTTCTAGTAAGCAAATCTGTTGAAGTACAAGTACCGTTTGAGCAGTTGCTTTAAGAGCTAGCATTTTCTATTTCACTTTTTCGTTTAATTTTTAGCATTATATATCTTTTTCGCTTTCCAAGTTGCAATCTTTAACTTGTTCATTAATTTGTAATGTAAATTTTGCATTTTTGGTTCATTAATTTCACAGATGAAGATCTGTTCTTGTGATATATAACATTATGTATATATTGTTTTCCCTATTTTTTGTGCTTGTATTAAATATCAAATTTAAACAAAATCTGCCTATCATTTTCTTAAAAAAAAAATATATAAATCTGTAAATCTGTTGAAATTTCATGTTTTATTGGGTAGATTTATTCAATAAAAAAAAAAAATAATAATAATAAATAATAATAAAAATATCATAAAGTTAGTGTTTTTCCTTTTCAGATTAAAGGCTTATTTATGGATTTTCTTTTTGTAATTTTGTTTTATGATCTTTCTCCATGAGATCAATTGACATTGTTTGGGACTTTTTTGTGGTGAATATTCAGTGGAATCAGCTGCCAGTGAAGTTCATGTGTGTTTACCGACATTTAAGGGACTTTAGCTTCAAGCATGTTTGTTGTGTGTGCTTTATTTTTTATTTTTATATTTTAAATTTTTTTATATCTATAAAAACTCTTAAATTATGTGTTTAGATCTTTACACGAGGTAGACTATCACATGCTTCTGAAAAAAGAGTTGACCTGTTTGCTTTCTGAATCTCAACTAGTGGGTATGATTTAATTGTTTCAAGGCTTTACTTTAATATTATCAATTAAGATTTTTGCTGCTATTTTTCAACAAATTATGTAATATTGGTTGATAGAGAAGCCCAATAGGATAAATAAAAAAGATAGAAAATTTTATGGGCTCTGACAGTCTCTTTTCTCTGGGTCTGCAATTGACAGGTGAGTATTTAATTTACTGATTCTTTATTTAAGAATTTTTTCTTGTCTTTATTGAAGGCCATAATATATTTATCACTGGGTTTCAGTAGTTGCTATTATAAATCCCATTTAACAAAATTGGAACTGAGCTTGAACTGACATTACATGAGAAAAACTAGTTTCTGTTGTAGATCTATCTTCTTGGGGAATTACTCATGCTTGGGTATCTTCTACATTCAACTAACAGTGCTTTGATTAATTTTATTGTCTGCGGTAATTTTTTTTTTTTTAGTTCTTGCAAAGACATGAAAGACTGCTTTTGATATTAAGACCATTTCCGTGCTTTCAAATCCTCTAGCTTTTATAATATTGAAAATTATAATGGTTTACTAATCTTTGATATGGCTGTTTTTCCTATGCGGATTTAATGTCGGATCTCTAGAAATATTATCTTCTTGTGGTTTGAGTTGAACCATAAAAGGTTATCTGAATCAAGCTTGCTGAGACTGGATCTTGGACTTCTGAGGTACATTTATTGAAGATGGCTACCTTCATGCTTAGCCTTAGATGTTTGAATCCCATTAAGTTTATGCTCAAATGTGCAAGGCATGCATGGTATCCCAATAGTTATGTTCATGCCAATATTTTTTATTTTGATTTCTGAAATTTCCTCAATGTATTGTATCATCTAGTTTGTTTCATCAGAAAACATTTCCTAAAAGAATTTGATTTCATAAGTGGTAAAAAGGTGGCAAATAAGGTGGCCAATTGCTATGTTATGCCACATCTTGTGATATGTGTGAACAATTTTCTGAAAGATTTGGGAAAAAAAGTAGATTTCCTTGCTTTGTCTAGAACAAACAGATGCATCTGTCCAGTGTAATGAGAGCAAACATGAATCAGCTTTCCTGTTGCAAAATGTATTTTGGTTTCCCAGTCACCCTTTTCTGCCTGCAAATATTCTACAAAGTTGTTCTTGGATCCTTGGAATGACTGTTTATTACTTTTCTTCGATGTTTCAGTTTCAGCTCTTGTTTTAAGTAGTAACAAATAAATAATAATTACTTTTTCCTAGTTATAAATAATTGATTTATATCTAACAAATGAAAGCATATGTTTTGCATTCTAGGAGGTCCGGCCGAATATCTTGCCTAGGTCATTCAGAGAATTGAAAATCACTTTACACTGACATTGCATCTAACATGAATCAAATGGTTTTTGACTTTAGCAGATGACATGTTGTTCAAAGAAGATGACATTTCTCTACTTCGTTTTCAAAGTAAATTTGATTATATATATAATGTAATTATGGTGTAATCAAGAAATGTTGCTGAGAATGATATGTTAAGATTATCATGTTATTATTCAGGGAAAAAACCTTCATGTTATTTGATGATATTATTTATGCAATGTAAAATATATTAGGATTTATCATATAGTCATGCTTTTCTACTGATCTATATCACCTCGATAACTAAAATAACACATCAATTGCTCATCTCTATGACTCAATTTTAAATTGTTCAAACCTCAATTTGACTCTAAAATGCTTTTTTGGGTGAACAATCTTTCAAAATATCCTGGGCACGATAGTGGTTGTGCTAAAAAATCTGTAAAATGTCTTTGCACAATGCATATGTAACTGGATTCTTTTAGCTGTTTCTTAGAAGCTTAAGCATGTAGTTAATATAGTTGGGTGCTAAAAAATATATATGTATATATATAGTTGGCGCTTTAGTATAGCATGTGGGTATACCTAGATATACATCTAAATACGCTTAATTTTGTGTCCCTTTCCTAATTATACTGTTCACAGTGCTACCTATCCTAGTAAATTGTGTTTATTAAATCTTCTCCATATGTATGGTTTGTTATATTTTTGAACTTTATAATGGTAAAAAGCAGATAATATTGTTGCTGTCTACTAACATTTGATTCGAAATATGCTTGGCTGCTCTATGTAATCAATAATCGTGTGACTGATAAGTTTTACATGGTTAGAGTTTTGAAGATATAACTTTACAGCCTTCGGTACATACGGTCAATTGCACAGCCAAGCATTCAGTTTTGTGTATTGACATTTCTTTGATTTTCATTAACTGTTTCTCTTTTGATAATTGTACTATTTTCCCCACACGTCACATATTCTGTTCTATGTTTCTTTTTTCCTCTCACAGTCATACCGCTTGTACAAATTCTTTCTTCTAAATTATCAATCTATACATAGCAGTGCAGTTTTTAACAATAATGAAAACTAAGAAATTTCCCCTGCTTCTCAGGTAGCTATAATTATCTCTCTCTCTCCAGACATCACATTTCTTCCGACAACTCCAAGTAAGAACCACCATGACATTGAGCAACCTTAAGCTTGGGGTGGATGTGGTCAGCGCTCACAACCTTCTGCCTAAAGATGGGCAGGGTTCCTCCAGTGCTTTTGTGGAGCTCCATTTTGATGGCCAGAAGTTTCGCACCACTATCAAGGAGAAGGATCTCAACCCTGTTTGGGATGAGAGCTTCTATTTCAACATATCTGACCCTTCCAACCTCCACAATCTCACTCTTGATGGTTACATCTACAATAATATCAAAGCCACCCATTCCAGGTCCTTCCTTGGAAAGGTTTGCCTGAATGGGACTTCATTTGTTCCCTACTCGGATGCGGTTGTCTTGCACTACCCTCTGGAAAAACGTGGGATCTTCTCACGTGTAAGAGGAGAGCTCGGTCTTAAAGTTTATATTACTGATGATCCATCAATAAAATCCTCTAACCCACTTCCTGCAGCTGAGGACACTCAGGCTCACACCCAATCAGTTCTAAATCAGGCTCCAAGCACTTTTTCAAACGTCAAAACCGAGTCAAGGCACACCTTCCATCATCTCCCAAACCCTAATCATCCCCAACAGCAGCAACATTCTCCTGTTGTTGCAGTGCCCCATCAAGTAACAAAGTATGGGGCTGATGAGATGAAAGCTGAACCTCAGCCTCCAAAGCTTGTTCGTATGTACTCAGCATCATCAGCACAACCTGTTGATTATGCCCTTAAAGAGACGAGCCCATTCCTTGGCGGGGGACGAGTTGTAGGGGGTCGTGTCATTCGTACTGACAAGGCTGCTTACACTTATGATCTTGTTGAACAGATGCACTTCCTCTTTGTAAGAGTTGTTAAGGCTCGTGATCTTCCTGCAATGGATGTTACAGGGAGTCTTGATCCATATGTTGAAGTGAAAATTGGAAATTATAAAGGAGTTACAAAACATTTAGAGAAACAGCAGAATCCGATGTGGAATGTGGTGTTTGCCTTCTCAAGGGAGCGGATGCAAGCATCTGTACTAGAAGTTGTGGTTAAGGACAAGGATTTGCTCAAGGATGACTATGTTGGCACTGTAAGGTTTGACCTCAGTGAGGTTCCCATGCGGGTTCCACCGGATAGTCCACTAGCTCCAGAGTGGTACCGGCTTGGGGACAAGAAGGGAGAGAAAATAAAGGGTGAGCTGATGCTAGCAGTTTGGATTGGCACCCAAGCAGATGAGGCTTTTCCTGATGCATGGCATTCTGATGCTGCTACACCTGTTGACAGTTCGGGAGCTGCATCAACACTAATACGTTCAAAGGTCTATCACGCACCACGATTATGGTACGTACGTGTTAACGTTGTTGAGGCACAGGACTTGATTCCCTCGGAGAAGAACCGTTTCCCTGATGTATATGTAAAGGCACATATTGGAAACCAAGTGATGAAGACAAGGACAGTTCAGGCTCGGACACTGAACCCCCTCTGGAATGAAGATCTCTTGTTCATTGCTGCTGAACCCTTCGAAGATCATCTCATCCTTACAGTTGAAGATCGTGTGGGTCCCGGCAAAGATGAGATTATTGGGAGGGTCATCATTCCGTTGAGCATTGTAGAGAAGCGTGCTGATGATCGGATAATTCATTCTCGTTGGTTTAACCTGGAAAAGCCGGTTGTTGTGGATGTGGATCAGCTGAAGAAAGAGAAGTTCTCTATGAGGCTCCATCTCCGAGTCTGTCTAGATGGAGGCTACCATGTTCTTGATGAGTCGACTCACTATAGTAGTGATCTTCGCCCCACAGCAAAACAACTTTGGAAGCCATCAATTGGGGTTTTGGAACTAGGCATTCTAAATGCTGTAGGACTCCACCCTATGAAAACACGAGATGGAAAGGGCACATCAGATACATACTGTGTAGCAAAGTATGGTCATAAATGGGTCCGAACTCGAACCATTGTTGACAATCTGTGCCCAAAGTACAACGAGCAGTATACTTGGGAGGTTTTCGACCCTGCAACAGTTCTCACTGTTGGTGTTTTCGACAACAGTCAGCTTGGGGAAAAGGGTAGCAAGGACCTTAAGATTGGGAAGGTTCGAATTCGTATTTCGACGCTGGAAACAGGCCGTGTTTATACACACTCCTATCCATTGCTGGTTCTTCACCCAACTGGAGTTAAGAAAATGGGGGAGGTGCATTTGGCTATACGATTTTCATGCACATCTTTTGTGAACATGCTCCATATATACTCTCGTCCACTGTTACCCAAAATGCACTACGTAAGGCCATTCACTGTTATGCAGCTTGACATGCTACGCCACCAAGCTGTTAACATAGTGGCTGCACGGCTAGGTCGAGCAGAACCCCCACTTCGGAAGGAGGTGGTAGAATACATGTCTGATGTGGACTCACACCTTTGGAGCATGCGCCGTAGCAAGGCAAATTTCTTCCGGCTAATGACTGTTTTCTCGGGACTATTTGCTGTTGGGAAATGGTTTGGGGATATTTGCATGTGGAAGAACCCCATCACTACCGTGCTTGTTCATGTGCTGTTTGTCATGCTTGTTTGCTTCCCAGAACTGATTTTGCCCACAGTTTTCCTTTACATGTTTCTAATTGGAATTTGGAACTTTCGGTACCGGCCAAGGTACCCTCCCCACATGAACACAAAGATCTCGCAAGCTGAGGCTGTGCACCCTGATGAGCTTGACGAGGAGTTTGACACATTTCCAACAAGCCGAAGTCCAGAGCTAGTGAGAATGAGGTATGATCGGCTGAGAAGCGTGGCTGGTAGGATTCAGACTGTTGTGGGAGATATCGCAACTCAAGGAGAGCGTTTCCAGTCACTGCTAAGCTGGCGAGACCCGCGTGCTACAGCCATCTTTGTGATATTCTGCCTCATAGCGGCCATAGTGTTGTATGTGACACCATTCCAGGTGGTGGCAGCTTTGGCAGGGATTTATATGATGAGGCATCCCAGATTCCGCTATCGGTTGCCATCAGTGCCCATCAACTTCTTCCGCCGCCTGCCAGCTAGGACAGACAGTATGCTGTAAGTCGGTGGTGACTGGGTGTTTCCAGCTGGGATTCAGGACTTGTTTGTTCTTCACCTATGCTTGTAGGTATTAGACTGCTATTCCCCCTTCTGTTTCTTATGTACCCATGTATTGGACTTGAGTAGATTATGATAAGACATTCAGCCCATGAATAATTCCTGTATGATCTTTTTACATAATAAGTTTGTTTAGATGAATTACATCTCAAGAATAGGTAAATTGAATTTTGTTCAACTGGTTATCAGTTTCATTTACAGTGGTTCTCATGAAAGCTGTCATCATTTCTTCACACTGCAAGAGTGTGCTCTGACCTTGTTTGGTCCGGCCAGGTCCTCAGAGATTGAGGCCTTTCCTTTATGTATATACATATAATTTTTCCGCTGGCAAGAAACTCGCCCGCCCACATGCCCCTTTGAGGACTTGAACTTTGACCTTCTACTTTGAAAAGAAGCACCACTGGACTACAATATCTACAATACCGTCTGGTGGTTTTTTGTATTCAACTTCTCAAGGTTTCATCACCGCTTCCGACTACCAACCGAGCAAAAGAGGTAAAGAGTGAGCAAGCACATTGACAGTGATGCATATATATTGATCTTGCGAATTTGCTTCCCTACAAGGCTTCTTTTGTATGACATAGTGTGGCTGCATAACTAAGTGGTTGGTACAACCTTACAAACCAAGTTCCTTTATAAATTAAAAGGCAGGTAATGAAAAATACTTTAAATCATAGGAATTGACTAATAGCTGCCTGCCAGCTAACTTATCAAGGGTATCATAGTCCTTTTACTATTTTTGTATGTAGTTAAGAAATGATGTATATAAACAATGTATTGTGTACAACTTAAGAGTGGTTGTGGACCTTGCGGTACAGTTTACAAACCAACGTGCACTCAAATTGGAAGGCCACTTATACAACTACGTGCCTTCCATGTTCGAAAATCTACTAGGCGCAAGTGCAACCTTGCCTCGTATAGAAATTCAGGACCAAACCTTGGAACAAGCAACATGTTAGTCAACAAAAAATGGCCATTTCTATGTCCAAGAAGAAATCTAGACTACCCAAAAGAGTTGAAGCAAAAGAACTCACCTTCTCTGATTCAATCCTACCCAAATTCCTGTATCGAATACCCACCGCGCTTCTCCTTCTAATCCTTCTCTTTCTATGGTCTTCTTCCACCACAATTATCTCTGGCAATATTGTTCACGTATGCCTGTCCTCTCGCAAGCTCAACAATCTCTATTGCCTCTCCGCAGGCACCCAACCCAACTTTGAAATCCCAATTTCACTCATCAACAATGGCTCCGTTAATGTTGACATTGAAAGCAGTACTAAAGAGGTGGTTGATGTTGTTCTTGACAATCTCCCAGTTCTTGAGAACAAAATTGCTCAAGATAGAGATGAGGAGGTTGCAAATGCTGTCAAGGTTGTGGAAGAGCAGCTGACACTACATAGATCATGGGTGAGGGATACAAACCATGCAACATGTGATGGGAGGGGGATATTTGTATATGAATTGCCACCAAAGTTTAATAAAGATTTGGTGGCTCAGTGTGGTGATATGATTCCATGGGTTGATTTCTGTAAATTTTTCAGTAACGGGGCGTTAGGCGAGCCGATAACGAAGCTTGGAAAAGGCTGGTACCAGACTCATCAGTATTCATTGGAGCCAATATTTCATGCCAGGGTTTTGAAGCATCCTTGTAGAGTTTACAATGAGAATGAGGCCAAGCTCTTCTATGTACCATTCTATGGTGGACTAGATATATTGAGATGGCACTTCAAAAATGTGTCTAATGATGTTAAAGACACATTGGCATTAGACCTAGTGAAGTGGCTGGAGTCACAAAGGCCTTGGGTTAGGAACTCAGGTAAGGATCACGTGTTTGTTTTGGGTAAGATTTCATGGGATTTCAGGAGGAAGAGCAGCTCTTCATGGGGGACTAGGTTGTTAGAACTTGATCAAATGCAAAACCCAATGAAGCTCTTGATCGAAAGACAACCGTGGCACATTAACGACATCGGTGTACCACACCCAACTCACTTCCACCCACATTCTGACGACGATATCATTGCATGGCAGCTCAAGATCATCCGTTCAAACCGTAGAAGCCTCGTGAGTTTTGCAGGTGCGGCGCGCCCTGGTGCACCGGAGAACATAAGGTCTGTATTGATCAAGCAGTGCACTTTAGCCGACAATGGAAGATGCAGGTTTCTGAATTGTAGTTCCAGTGGGTGTGATCAGCCTGAAATGGTTATCGAGCTGTTCATGGAGTCTGAGTTCTGCTTACAGCCCCCGGGTGACAGCCCAACAAGAAAATCAGTCTTTGATTCGCTTGTATCGGGTTGCATTCCGGTGCTCTTTGATCCTTTCACAGCTTACTATCAGTATCCTTGGCATCTGCCTCAGGATCATGATAGGTATTCGGTGTTCATAGATCAAGAAGAGGTTAGAGAAATGAAGATGAATGTAGTGGAGAGGCTGATGAAGATTCCTGTGAGGGAAAGAGATGATATGAGGAGATACATAGTGTATGAACTATTACCTGGATTGCTTTATGGAGATTCAAGTTCAGAGCTTGAAAAGTTTCAGGATGCATTTTCTGTAACAATGAATAATCTGCTCGAGAGGGTGAGCAGATTTGAATGACCTGTATAACTGGGGTTGATGTATTTTATTGTACTTATTCATTTATTTCAACTGTAGAAATCTTAAATTAATACTCCAACTTCAATTCCAAAACATAGACTCCACGAAGATTTTAGCTGCTGCTTAAAATGACGAGTAATGCTGAACAAACACATTCATGGGCATTTTTTCACTCCAAGTCACCTCTGTTGCAGCTTTCAACAAATATTCTACTGAAAATTTTATTACTTTTCACATTCCGTGAAAGATCGTTTAACATAAAATTTCTTAGATGGAAACAAATATTGCCAATAATCTTCACAAACTGAGTCAACAATAACATCTTTCATCATTTTGCTCAGTAAACTAGGTTCAATTTGTAGATAGAACACATAAAAAGTCTTTAAACTGATACAGATGGCAATAATGCATAAAAAATCCAACCTACTTCAACAATGCTTGCTTAGAAATCTTAAAATGGTGACTTTGTTATAAACTGTGTTAGCACAACTCATCGTCTACTGGAGGAGGGCGAACAAGGTGAGCTTTAGAGTTTGCAGATCCCACCGGCACAGTTAATTCACAACACCACATATATACACAAGTGCCATATGTCTAATGCCGCAAATTATATCAACCACGCGTCAAGTCAATCTCAGTGTGGGGGTTTCTCAGATCAAGCCGTGAAATAGGCCACAAACGTCTTGCTGAATTAGGACTGACGCTTTGTGCAGGAGCAACAGAAACTGGTGTAGCCAATTTTTCAGTGAGTTGAAGCACAGAATTCTCCTGACCTTTGTCTTTGGGACTAGTCTCTGTTTTATTCTTTATCTTTAAACCATCATATACAAAACTGCACATAACCACCTGCAGCCACATCCATTATTTGGTTAAAATTCTTGACATGCATAGAGAGGTGTACTATGTACCGTATTCCCACCTGTCTGAAGCCAAAGGAACCTATACATACAACAAATCAACCCCATAGGTCAACCCACCAGCATTTCATAATTTAAGGCATAAAATTTTGCTTGCGATACGACTTCACAGCTTTCCATTTAATCCATTCACGGACAGTTTCAGTGGCAAAAAGGAAATTGAAAGCAGCAAAGTATTAATAGAAAACGACAGACCCTATGTGTAATAAAGCTCAACTGCTATAATTCAGCTTGATCATAAAATATATCGACTACCAATCAAATACAAGATAAGATGACAGATGCAAGTATAACCATGAACAGCGATTCAGGGGACCTATAAAACAGACAAGAATATACCTGAACGGAGCTTGCTGCAATAAGCCTGCCTCCTACTCCACCTCCAATGACATGGCCATCAGGACTACAAACAGAAATACTTAGACCACCAGTTCGACTATGGGGACCACCTTCAGCAACCAAGTAAGAACCTGACAAGCATAATATCTGAAAACGTCCCTACAAAAGTTGATAACCAAATAAGTTTCCTTTGAGCAAAAGAAAAAGGAAATGAATAGAATTCTAGTAGAAAGAAAAGACAGCAATGTTCTTAGACATTGGAAAAATACATGCACTTATTGCATAATACTTATATGTCCTCAACATTAACAATTCTTTTTTTTAAATAAGATGACTTAAAGAGATCAAACTAATATCATGTTCAGAAAAGAACAGTCCAACCAAGAATTTGCAATCACCACTTCCATAGAGTAAATGTCCTATTGTTTTGCAATCATGCTATTGCAATTAAGTACATATAAAATTTAATCAAATAATAAAATGTTAAGATTTAAGTACATTTAAAAATGTATATTAATTAAACAATTCAGTAGGCCTGGCATGAACTTGGACAAAGCTTGCGTGATGAATAGGGCAGGATCTTGTAGGAGGTGGATCCTATGGCTATGGGATCTAAGATTCGACTCTTGCCAAAACAATGTTTAGATATAGGTATGAGAACACATGGCCAACACATCTATGATTTGACTCTTGTCAAAAAAAGAATGTCCAAGAAAGAACTTGTGGCACAAAGACCTAATGCAATAGAAATTTCATTGAACACCAGATAAGATAATTTTTGTATTACATTGATTTTTTAGAACGAGTATTCTTTTCTCTGTATGTTTTCCTCTCATGTATTAAGGAGATCTCTCTCTCTCTATATATATATATCTATATTAGTTTGACTCCTGCTGAAGTACTTGACAATTACATGGAGAAATTGAAACCATCAGAGTTACGTTGGAAGTAATGTTAAAACAAGGTAGCAGAATACATCATTACGCCATGCTAAATCAGCATAGTTTAATGATACCTTTCTTTCTTAATTTTTTTTTTTTTTTTTGATAAGTACCTTTCTTTCTTAATTTAAAGTCAAATACACACCAACGGGCCAGTGGCCTAGCCTCTTACTTCTCAAAGGGAGGTCAGGGGTTCAAGTCTCAGAAGAGACGTGTGTGTGAGTACCAACTAGGAAAAAAAAAAAAAAAAAAAAAAAAAAAAAAAAAAAGTCAAATACACCAGAAATAATTCTCTCCCTACCTTATAACCGACCACAACCACCATAGAAGCTGCCACTTCACTCCACCACGACCACCACATGATTAAAACCATGGCACTATATCTCTACCAACCACCACTACGACCATCCTGTCATTACCAAGATGCAACCACCTACCACCACTGAAAATTTCTCTCCCCTCAGAAATTCAGCTTGATTGCTCTATTAGATCACCATCATCTCACTCCAAGAACCAAACTCAGAGTATCGATATTCATTGTGATGTATCTCTTGATTGCCAACAGATTCAATACTTTCTTTCTCTTTTTTCTTTTTCTTTTTCTTTTTATGCTTCCTCTCTCTATAACATAAGCCAGGAACAAGATTAGGAAGTAGGAAAACAACCTTAGTCGTCTTTGTTAGAGAATTTTCACCTCACTTATTGTGTCTCAACTATCCCGATCCATTTATTTATTTTCCCGAAAAGGGACATATATATCTCAAACAACCGGTGATGCCCCGAAGGTTGCTGCAATTTGCAGTAAGGAATTCAGTGGCCACAAAATCTTCAGCTCCACAATTGATGGAGGCATTAATATATATATGGTTTCCATTTTTTTTCCCCAATTTTTTAGCTGTTTGATGATTGAGCAATATTTGGGTGTCAATGTGATTCATTGAACTAATTAAGGCACTAGACAAGTGCTAGATGATAATAGAAAAGTTAAAATTTCAAACCGTATAAGCTTGGGTTGTGTATTCCTATATGCTCTCTTGTCATTCCAGAAAATGTAAACTCATCACTTGACAAATATGATTCAAATCTGAAAGTACCATGTGGTAACCATTGAATTAATCATGGGTAGATTTTTGTGTTAAAATCATTAAAAACTACCAAGATGGGTTGATTATTCAACATAGGTTTAACAATGTTTAATTTAGAGAGAGAAGACTAGATGAAGAGTTTTAGGAAAGTGTAAGGTTGACATGGAATTTGTTAGTCTTCTAAGGCAAATATTAGAGAGGGAACAAACACAGAGAGAGAAGAAAATAGGTAAAGGAGAAAGTGTTCACTATGGTGGGTTAGAGTGGGAGAGAGTAGGGAGATAGAAGAGGGAAAAAAAATGGAATAAGAGGTGATTGCCGGCCCCCAAACAAAAAAAAAATTAAAATTCCTGGCTCCGCCCAACTCTATTCATCGACCAGCCACCCCCACCATCATCTAGCCTGCCCCTGAATAGAGTGGAGTTAGATAGTTTTGACTTATGGTTGCTGGTCATGGACTGTAACATGTTAATAAGTGCGGCAGAGCAATTTGTAGTCACACATTAAAAGCATTTTTATTCAACTTCAACAGGAACCTCAATAGGAGCTTTGAAATTTCTCTAAAGTGGTATCAGCAAATAAAAGTACAGGGAGATAAAGGAGGGCGGAATCTTTATTTAAAACATGAAAATAATGGAGGTTGTTATATTTTTGCAAACAAGAGGGAATCTCGTAACCGTTTAGATACCTCACAACACCTTTGGAGAGGTTAAACTAATTACCCTTTTTTTCAATACATTTACCAAAAATAAAAAATTGGCGATCCTTGTAATCTAGCCATGTCATCAAGACCTAAGATTATGGGACTTGACAGATTTGAAACCTAGATACTCAATTCCATCTACGACCTATCACAAGAGCCTTTGTACAGGTAAAATAACCTGTGGTTTTACACCATATATACTCACCATTGTCTTTATAGCATCTATCAAACATGCGATATGTATGCTTTAAATGTTGGACAATATTGTGGCCGGGATATAACTATTTAATTAACATATTAGAATATCTTTCTAAGAGAAAGGACCACGGCGCAAATTAGTAATAACAAAATAAGGAACCACCGAGCATTAGTAGTAAAAGATATGCTCACATAAAAATGCACTGCTATCATAATCACACCATAAATGTACATGATGAGTTTAGAATAGAATTTACAATTATCAACATGGTAACTAAGATATACTAGATGCACAAATATAACTAAACGAAACACGGCTTTCAATAGACAATTTCAGGACGTAAATTTTGAGGATTCAGAGAAATATTGGCAGAAAAGGCAAAACATTAAAAAGTAATCTCTTTCTGTGCAAACATGAAAAGGATCTTTGAGTGTTTCAACCTCATATATGACACTGCTACCAGAAGATGTGGGCTGATGTAATGTTACTGTTGAAACTGCACCACTGCCTGACAAGATGCACAAAGCTCTTGCCCTCTGTTGTGAAAATGACAAAATTTTTGTTGCAATATCCTGTACAAGACAATAACGTGATTTATTTGTGTAAGTTCAATATCCACATGCGTAAGAACACAACTATATAAGTGTGGAGTTAGTTCATTCTCTACACTTCAGAAAGTGAGTTTATATAATAATCAGCAAGCATGCATAATCAAGAGCCTTTATCAATTAAATTAACAGCTACTCTGCAACACATGCAGTGCACATGGTCCGTACTTCCATACAACATCAACTACCCCCCGCCCAAAGGAAAAAGAATGAAACGATGTCATCATATATATACTATATGAAGTGCAAGGATATACTGAATTCTAGAAAGCAACCACTTTAGCTCTGTTACCTCTCGTATTTATTTATTTATTTTTTAAGTAGTTTATATGAAAAAAACCTTATTAGATTCAAGAGCATCTATGATGTACCTCAGCAGCCAAGACATCTTGAATGATACAGCTTAAGGATATACACAACATCAACTCCTTAAATCCTAAGAAGGAAAAACTGTGATTTGAAATCAGATATGCACTTTATCTTTGATAATAAAAAACGATGGTAAATTGCCGTACCAATCGAAGTTGTGGTGTAAAGGTACAGAATGCATCTGTCAACATGTAGCTTGAATCAATTACCAAATCCGTGAAATTTTTTTTTTCCTTCTATCCTTTTGTTTCTAAAAAAAACCAAAAACCAAACTGATATGCATGTCACATAGCATTATATTAAAGTTTCTATGATTTTTCATGACTTCTATCGCATCTAAGGACATGATTGGGTAATGAATCTTCTTTTGGTTTCAAAGTTATTGTTTATAGAAGTCACTTTACATTATTGGTCTTTTCAATAGTTTTTTTACTAAAGTCATAACTAAAATGGTAAAATCACTAATATAACCAAATAACCTTTGATGGTCCAACTGAATATGATAAGAGGTGCAATTTTTGTACTACAGGTGGTAGAATATGTAAAAGAAAATGATAAGAATGGAATCCAAAAGTGTTTCTAAGGTGACTATCAAATTAAAATGCTGTAATAGCCATTGCACTGTAATGAACTATAACAACTGTTATGCGACCATGGTAGCCCATGACAGTCAATACATCTGCGAACCACAATCCCATTGACCATGGCAGCCCATGACAGTCAATACATCTGCGAACCACAATCCCATTGACCATGGCAGCCCGTGACAGTCGATTCATCTGCGAACCACAATCCCATTGATATGCAATAATAACAGGATCTATTGATATCATTATGTAGTGGCATTACATAACAGTATCGATTAATCTTTAAAAATCATGTGTAAATTTGCTAAAGATAGCATACCTCTCCGACTGCAATATTGATGACATGTGGTGTAAATGCTAGTCCTGCAGAACTGTTCATCCAGTCACCTAGAAGTAAAGAAACAATCATTTGAACGAAACATTATATTTTCCAAGCACCAAAGAAAGAATTATAAATTATCCACACAACCTAAAATTACATGGTTAACAGTTCAAGCCTCCATGGAGGCATGTGTGTGTGAGTACCAACTAAGAAAAAAAAATTTACATGGTTAACAGAACAAACAGAGATATGGATTATCACTTAAAAGTAGACAAAATTTGTTACTTTGAACAAGAGAAAAGAAGCAAACAGAGACTGATATAAACAAGTTTACTGTAGAGGTCACGGCGTTTGAGTTCTGTATAACATCTTTGGAACATGATTAGATGAAGATAGTGCAGGCGTGGATATAGTTGTCAAGGAGAGGTTCCAGGGCAGTCATTTGTGATTGTCAGTATTAGACTAAGAACTATTTCACAACAATTAGTTAAACCCCCAATATATATAAGAAATTATTAGTAAATATGTGAACAAAATACTATCAGAACTTATCAACTCATCAAGAATACCATAAATCAATGAACTACTTCAGGGATCATAAACACCACTAAATCGTACAGTAAAGTGGTACAACTGTACAAGATGATACTAGATATTTCTCCATTAATTCATATGGTCATTGCAGTCCACCCCCATTGCTGGTTAGTGTTACATTTGGAAAGTGACATATACATTACAAATTATCACTGCTGAAACACGTTTATTTCCAGGATTATGTATCCTTGAGAACCAATATACACATAATTACAAACTAAACAATTGCCAAGATTGGTTGAGACCGAGTACACAGACATCAACTTATCACATGCAATCCAGAATAAGACATAGAAAGCAACTTAAATTGATAAAGAAAGCTTACCAAGAGGTGCCAATCGTTGTTTCCACCCACTCCCAGGAGGCCGGCCTCTACCCCGTCTTGGGGTCTGCGTGATCGACCCCAGGGAAGGTGTTGATGACATAGGAGACAGTCCCAGAGACATGTTGGTACCGCCGGGGCCATATTTCCGAGGCCTCCCCCTTTTTTTCTTTGGTGGCTCCCCCGGTGGCACACCGGTGGACACACCCATGTTAAGGCCATGAGGGAAATTGGGTGATGGCTCTACTGGAAATGTTGAACCTACAGAGCTACCCCCTGCATTGGAATGAAGTGAACTGTGAGGGTTAGACAAGGGCCTGAAACCAGGTGGGGCATGTAAGCCAGTCAGCGTCACAGAACTTGAACCAGACCCAGACCCACTAATCCCTCTGTGGAGGTAATAAGTAGCTGACCCAGATAGTGTCATGCCTTCTCTTCCATCCATGCATTTACTCAGTGTATAAGTCACACACAACACTTCAATCCTAGATTCCTATATAAATTGTTCAAAACCCAAATCTACAACCGACCAACTATGAAAAAAAGAAAATCTAAATCGGATCAAAATTTCAAAAATCACCTAAATACAGAAACACTAAAAATTATATCTTTAACAAGGGTTTTACATGGGTTTTTCACTGAATAGGAAATACCCAAAGAAAACAAAATCTCTGACCCAAAGAAAGAAAAATAGAAAGAAAGAACACAAGGTTAAAGCCTGAACAATTTCACCATGACAAATACATCACAGAGCTCATTTTGGAAAGAATGTAGAAAATCTGAAGCAATTGAGTCACTCAAATAACATTTTAACAGTTTTGGAACTGTTTTGTGCTTAGACACATGAAGATGAAGAAAAGAAGTAGAAACCCTAGACTTGAAATCGAAGAAGAATGAATGAATGAAAGAGTCTGGGAAAGAGAGGAGGGGAAGGTAAAGACAAAAGTGAAATTTAAAAATAGAAAAAATTGAGCTTTTGAATTAAAGCAATAGATGACCCCTTTTTTTTAGTAGTAATTTATTGGGGGGTTTTGTAGTCAGGACTTCTTAGAGGGCTGTAATAAGTTCCCACTGTGGGAAGGGAAGGAAAGTGAGTTACAGAAAGGAATGGCTGGAACCATTGGAGGGCACTTGGGTGCCCCACCAAAGTGCTAAAATATGTCCTTGTCAGACGACCTTTTCCTAGGCCAGAGAGCTCTTTTCTCTCTCCTACCTCTCTCATGAATTTATGATGCATACTACCTTTTTAATAAAATGGCAAGTAGTGGAATCAAGAAGGGCCAAAATTTTTGTGCTGCAACAAAATGATAATGCCTTTGTGTGATTAAGGACAAGATACATTTGAAGACAAGAAGGGGTGGTCAATTTTATTATTAGAAAATTTTCTGTCGCATTGAACAAATTGAAAAAGACACAGTGTAAACCGTAGAAATAAAACTAGAGCTGCAGCAGTGACAGATTGAGGGATCAATCTGAATTTAATTTTCTTTTTCTTGATAATAATTTTCACAATTCTTATGGAGGAGATATCACTAAATAGTATGATTTGATTTCTGTACTTAATTTAAGATATGAAAACCCTCTATTTAAATTTGAGCACAGATGAACTTTTATCTGATCTCATTTTTTCAAATACTATTAATATTTAAATAATTATATGAATAAGTATCATATTTGAGTTTGGCTGTTGCAGGGGATGTAGCACACACGATCACATGGCATGCACCCAGAGCTCCAAGCTCAAGCCTTCTTGAGTTATTTTAAAAGTAAAGGATGGAATCCACACGGCCACGTGGCGCACCCCATTGTTCCAAGTTCAGATCTTCTTCTGATATTCATCTACAAGCCTACCGAAGATAAGTTCGGGTGTTAAGCCTAAACTGTGACTCAACTGGGATACTGATAATCACATTCACCATCGAACTAAAAGACTGAGTTAGCCCTATTAAGTCCAATAGAATAATGATGAATACCCTACTAGGGTGGGCCACCTCAAGGTCTCATTCTCGAGAGGCAAGCTCATCGTTGAGACTATAAATAGAGACTCTCATGCATAGAAAGAGACTATAAATAGAGACTCTCATGCATAGAAAGAGGTTAAGCTTTTTAAGTAACTTTTAGCTTTCATGTATTAGGCCCTTGCTCACAATTCGTCCGACTTTGTATTTGGATATCACCCCTTCTTACTTGTATAATTCTCTTGATATAAAGAACCCTCACAATTGTTAACTTGAACTCAATTTTTTTTTTTTGAAGTTAAAGCTATTACGCACACACTTTGCCTCCACCAAAGTTCGAACTCCCGACCTCCCCTCTGGGGGGAATGGGTGATACCGCTGGGCCAATTGGTCCTTTGGTTACTCAACTTGAGATATAGTTGAAATTGTCATCTTGAGTCCTCTTAAAATGAATTAGGTTGAATTAATTTGTCAGTGTAGCTGTAAATGGATAATAAAAGAACATTGAAAAATCTGATTATTGAGGGGATGAAAATAATTATTTGATTTGAGTATTTGAGCATATAAATTTTGTGTGTTTATTTGACATCTTAAGAGTAAATTATCTAGCCATTTTTAAGATGACAAGTCTAATACTCCGCTGGACAGGAAAGAAAAAAATTGAATGAAATGATAAAAAGAAGAGATAAATGAAACATCCTAGGGGAATAAATTGTGTGATTCATTTTTTTTGTTTAGTTAGATGGAAAAGAAGAGAATAAGGTAATACCTTATTTTGTTTATTAGGAAAGAAGAGAAGAGAGAGTGTTACTTGTAAGGAAAACTTTGTAATTTTAAAACTTTTACAAAAGTCTTGCCTTTTTTCCCTTCGTCCTCCAAATATTTGGAGGGATAAAAATTTTTAAAGTAGGAAATGAGGAATGATGACTTATCCATCATCTTTTTTTCTTCTCTCGTTTCATTCACTAATTTCACTCCACCAAAAGAAGGGAATTTGTTTGTTTCTTCTTATCTTCCCTCAACCCTCTTCCTTCCTTCTTACCAAACAGAGTATAATTTTTTATTTTATTTTATTTTTTTATCAATATATTATAGTGATATATAAGTAAATTATTAACACACCCTATCCCAATTTAATTATTCATCTTTCCTCTTTTGATAGTCCCAAAATAATTTGTACCAAAAGAAGGGAATTTGTTCGTTTCTTCTTATCTTCCCTCCACCCTCTTCCTTCCTTCTTACCAAACAAAATATAATTTTTTATTTTTTATTATTTTTTTATCAATATATTATAGTGATATATAAGAAAATTATTAACACACCCTATCCCAATTTAGTTATTCATCTTTTCTCTTTTGATGGTCCCAAATTAATTATCAAAATAATTGTTTTATTTGAAAAGTTAAAGAAAGATAAATGCATCATTTAAAGTTTTTCAATTAGAATAAATAAATAAATACGGATAAGATGACACGTGAATATCATTGCTAGTCAAACTCTCCTTGCAATCCAATTATTATTTTATTATTATTACTTTTATTTGACACGTATTATCTATGTGCAACTCCAAATATATATGTAAACTTTGTGAAAAAATTTCAAATTCTAATCTAACCGTTAAAAAAACACCATATCATCATCTTTGTTTGAATTAAGTTGCACATTATATCATAACATGGTCAATAGTTAAATAAATAATGATACCACACATTTTAATAGTTAGATGTAGATTGATATGATTGAGAGAAAAATTAATGGAGTGAATCCAAATTCTTTTAAAAACTGCTTATAAAAAAAAATTGAAATAACATAATTGATCTTTAGAAGCACATTGAGTTATCATTTCATTTAATAAGAAATTCAAGTGGAGTGCAAGAGAAAAAAAAAATTGTAAATATCATTTCCATTACTCTCTTATTATTATTATTTTTTATTGAATAATACAAACCACACAAGATAAATAAAAATGGAAAACATATAATAGATTCAGATGTCCATACAAAGTCTATACTTTCCATCAATCTAGTGTGTTGAAACTAATAAAGGCTTTGCTGCTTTAGGGGCATTAAAGCAGTCAAAAGGGAAATTTAGTCCATCTAAATATAACAACTTAAAAAGCACACAGTTTGCATCCAATATGAGAGAACACACTAAAATGAAATGATGAAATAGTCCATCCATCATGTATTTACCACTAAAATACCAGCATCTCCATGCCGTCTCTCTAACCCCCAAAGTATCCCATTTCAGTCTCTAAAGATTTTCCATCTCTAACTTTCTCCAATTCCCTTTCTCTTTTTTTTCCCCCTTTTCTTGATAGCTACTAATTCTTCTTTCAAGTTTCTACATTTATAAAAAAAATAATAATTTAAAGACCGAATTAAATTCAATTTATGTGAGTACGGTGATGGGCCTATTATATAATGCATGTGATGAGATCTCTTTCACAGTGCAATACTAAATTTTCAAGTTATTGAGAGTCCTTGAAGAACTTCATGGATAAACACTTTGCATTGGCATTTCATGGTTGCTTAGTGAATCTGGGCTAATTGGCACTATGTTCTACTTGAAGATCCACAATGCGAAGAGAAATGAGAACTTATGTATTTTCAGTAAAGAAATAATAGAAATGAAGAGGTTTGATATACTCTAATAACTTGAGCTTTCGAAACAAGTAGTTGTCCAAGACTTAACCGAAATCAAATTTTGATTAATTTATAATAAATAAATAAATAATAAATAAAAACTCTCAATTGCATAATTCAACCCGCCAGATTACCATTAAGCCCTGTTACTTAGAGATGTAACTTGTGAGCAAATTATGGCTATCAAAGGAACAAACAACAATCAATAAGAATGCATTTCAATTTTAAGGTGACAAGTATATGAAGCTAAACTAGTTCGGGTTGGTACCTTGATGTCACTGAAGATTTCAAACCACCCTCCCCCCCCCCCCCCCCCCCCCCCAGGCGCCCGGGGCCCCGCAAAAAAAAATAAATAAATAAAAATAAAAATAAATTAAGAAGTTAAATTCATATAAAACAAATATATCCAAGACTACATAGGGTTACAATAGATGATCCCAGTAAACTCCTCTCGCTCTCAAAAAGGTCATCAGGTTCATAGGTTCTGATTGACCAACTCTGATTTACTGGATCAATTCAAAATCCGGTTGTTTTCAAGAGATGGGGGAAATGTCAAGCCAAAAAACTTCATGCTACTGTCCCTGCTTCTTCTCCCTTTCCCTCTGGAATACCTAGCTCTAACTATAAGATGAGTCACAAACATGGAAGAAAACTAAAAAAAAACATGGAAAAAAACTATTAAAATAGAACCATAAGATGAGTCGAAAGAGAGACACCAGAAAGGTGTATCTAAAGAAGGCCGTCCAACAAAGACATACCCTGGAACCTCTGGGATACGGCAATCTTGCCAATGATGGAATCGCTCAGCTCTTCAATCTCTAGTGTCTGCTGTTCCAACTGACGCTCTTTTGCTTCAATTTCAGATAGAAGATTCTGCAGTTCTGTTTTCGTACCCTCAACCTGTTCCATGCGCTTTGTCTTTAAATCAATTAATTTCTTAACCTCCACATTTGATTCTACCACTTCTTGGATTTGATCAAGTCGGTCTTGCAGCCATTTCACATCAATTTTCATCTTGTCGGCATCTTTCAAAATAGAATTATAGGAAGACAAGCGGACACTGTCAAATTCAGTCAGCCGAATTCTTTGAAGTTCTAAGACAATCTTGCAAATTCCTTCCAGGGCAGAAGTCCGCATGTATCCGGACTCCAGCGAGCAATCTTTTGCAATGTCCCCGTGCCTATTGATTATTGCGTGGAGGATTGGGGCTAGAATCTCGTTGACGATATAAGAGCCTGCTTGTGATGTGCTACCCGATGGGTAGCTACCACGGTTGTTATCAAAAGCTCCCTCTCTTTCATGGCCACACTGAGGATCGCTGCCCGTTCGTTGAACTTCATGACATGCGGGACTGTTGGTTGTTTCTTGGATTTGCTGACCACAAGTAGTACATGGCTGGTGATTAACAGCGACATATTGGGGCTCTTCCTTCAAATTCTGGCTATGCTGTTTATTCTGGAGAATGACTGGTGATGTATTTACATGAATAACTTGTTCGCCAAATTGTAAAGGTTCCAATTGATTATTATCATTGGATCGGAGGGATGGAGAAATATAAACATTGGTCCTGTTGCATGACCTGGTTAATGACTCCACTGAAGCTTCACCTTCCTTTCCTATTCCCAGCTCTCCTTGAACTGGAATAAGAAAAATTATAAAGTAATTCAAAGAATAAATCAAACTAGAACCATTTAGATTGAAATTTGCAATCAAGAGGATGACAAATTCATTTAAGCATACAACAAAAATGGCCAGGCATTAATTTGACAGACAAAAAATCTGAAGTCCAACACATCTCTTAGCAAACACCACGCATCAGAAACAAAACCCACAAAGAATTTTAACAAATTTGGATTTGTTGTACCAAGACTTCTACATTGAAGTTTTAAATAACACCCCACTTCCTTTTTCTCAGCAGTTTGTCATATCAATTTTATTTTTTTTCATTTTAATCCTGTACAACAAACAATATATATCAAAGTAAAATCGTTAGCACTAGCGTTGATAAACCTGAACAGAAGGACAAGTCAATGGCTCAAATGACACTACTGACCTAAGAGAGAACACACGTCACTGAAATTTTTTTATGCTGCATTAGGATTACAGTAGAAGAAGCATTAGTTAAATGTCATGGCTGATTAGACACTTCCTATTTTTTATTTGTATTTTTTAGCCAAGTATGACTAATTAGCTATGAGACATGGACACGGACACAGATAGGGAGACACGGAAAATCTCAAAAAAATAGGACACAGACACGGATACGGTAAGGATACGACAATAAAATAATAATATAATTTATTTTTATACAAATAAAATTAAGTTTTTAATTAATTAATTTCTTTTCTTTATATTTATAAACGATATATTTAATACCCACCCTTCATATTTTTATTTAAAAGAAATAAAGATCTACAAGCCCAAATGAACAAGGATATCTTTCTATCCAAAAGTAATTCTTGCAACCAAACAACCGGTATAAGTAGTTCTTGTAACCAAACAATAGTTATAAGTGATAAGATTTGTATCTACCTCTCATTGTCAAAATGACATGTATCTCTCTCTTCCCATCCTTCTTTCTCTTTCATTGACACAATGACATTCCATCGTTCTCTCTCCATCCCCCAATCTCTGCACATCCTCAAAGTTTCTTCACCAATTCACATCCTTTTCCTCACCAAGACCTTGCTGATGAAACCCTCTTGTCGTCATGCCGATTCACCAAGTGTCCAACTTTAGTTGAGTGACATTCACTGAATCTACTAATCGGATCAAGTCAAGGCCAACAACCCCAAATGATTTGAGCCAAGATTGCATTATGTTATGTATATATAATTGTATTGTATCATTTTACAGTTTATATCATATGTTGATTTTTTGAACTTTCCTCTTGAGAATGTATATATACACATATATACATATATTGTCTTCTTCTCTCTGTTTTTTTATTTCAAAGAAAGAGAGGTTGATCGAACTGGACAATGTTTGCGTCCTGATCATGTCCTGCAGAATAGGTGGCCTAATAAAAATTTGACGCTCGTCTCAAAAAGTAAAAAATGAATTAAACCATTTTAAACGGGTTAACCCAGTCTCAATCTCTCTGCCCATTTGAGTTGTTACACAGTTACACTTCCAAAATCAAGAAACCCCATTTCAACCACAATTCTCCACCTCTCTGTGATCCTCCATCGCCCTTTCAACTTTTGTGATCCTCCATCACCCTTTCAACTTTTCTTCCTCTGCCACTCATCACCGCAACACCCACCAAACCATTTGAGAGAAGTGAACAACAATTAATCAACCCACAACGGAAATCCACCACAACGCATCTCTTCACTCCATAATCACCACCAAAAAATCACTATAATGCTCTCTAGCTCCCACTCCTCTCTTTCTCTCTCTAGGCCTCTGTCCTCTCTCTCTACTTCTTACCTCCTTTGTCTCCATCCTCTTGTCTCCGTCAAATCATCCCCCAAAGGAGATGATATCACTAGATGCCTGCGATTCCAACCACTGGCATGTTGTTATGGAAAAGATGGGAGTGAGAGAGAGAACTGATCTCCAACTGGTGGCCATGTAGATTTTTGGAAGCTTGTTAACGGACTGGTGGCGACAGAGATTCGGGAGTGCCGGCGGTTAGGGATTTGGAATGGAAATTTAAGAGAAGGGGATTTCTTTCACATGAGCCTAGCCGGATAAACTTCTTAAATGGGTCTAATTTATTTTTATAATTTTTAATAGTATATTATTTCTTATCACACATGTCAAATTTTCATTCAACCACATCATCACTCAGAGCACACAATCGGTCCTGATAGGGCAGGACTCAAGAATTATCCTTAAAAGGACATTAAAATGAGAACCGATTTGACTTGACCATTGATAGTTTCCTTCTTTTTATTTTAATAATGCTAAGAATTGATGACAATTCTATAAATAGATTCTTCTATAAATGACATGTGAAAAATATGTATACAAATATCTAAAATATTTAGAACGAAGAAAATATTGAAAATTTGAAAGTATAAGATAAATCTAAAGAAACCACCTAGTTAGTAACATAGTGGTGTTCAGTGGAACGGGACTAGTAGTAGTCTTGATTGAGGCCTAATGGATACCCACTAAACAGATCAAAATGTAAACTATTTGAGGGAATGAGGTTTTACCGTTATATATATGCGGAATCTGTGGACAAAAGATTATGTAGTATACAAAATTATTGATAATTAAGCCAATTACATACCATGCAATGAATGAACGGTCTGTTTCCGACCAGAACCTCGTGGGCGACCTCTGCAGCGTTTGTAAGGGCGATCTCTGCGAGTTGATGATGCTGGCGGTGAAGGATCATACATATGGGGCTTATTCCTTCTCCTGCTTATGCATTTGCCATTACCAGAAGGTCCAGAACAATCCATGTCACTGACTCTGAATCTGACTCCAACATTTAGATTACAAAACCACCATAAGACTCGGGATGTGTATATAACAGGAAGCCCTAGGTTTAATTTGGGTCGGGAGTGCTTCGTGTGTCTCTAAATTTGGGGGCGTGACACTCCACTAGATTCCTGTATAAACTGTTGTTTAAAACCCAAATCTACAACTGACCAACAAGAAAATCTAAATCGGATATCAAAATCAAAATCACTGAACCAGAGAAAGACAAAAAATCGAAAGGAAGAACCTAAGTTAGAGCCTGAACAATTTCACGGTGACAAAAGCCTACTTTGGAAGGAATGTATAAATTCTGAAGCAATTCAAGGCTATGCTTGGACGCATTAAGATGAAGATGAAGATGAAGAAAGAAAGTAGAAACCCTAGGTTTGAAATCAAAGAGGAATGAAAGGAAATGAGTCTGGGAAAGAGAGGAGGGCGAGGGTAAAGACAAAAGTGAAATTAAAAATAGAAAAAATTGAGTAAGGGAAGTGAGTTAAGGGCCGAAACCATTGATGTGTCCTTGTCAAGAGCACTTTTTCCTAGGCCAGAGAGCTCTTTTCTTTTGTCTCTTCCCCAACGCTACTCAATTTATATGATATGGTGAGGTGAGGATTCGAGAAGATAGATGTGGTCGTGTGTACAAGTGGCAGAATTGGATAGGGTTGAACTGTGTATATACGTGTGTGGTATGGAATATTGCTTAATAGTTTAATTTTTTGAATAAATTGATAAACGTGTATTTGTTATAATTGTTACGAGAGTTAATTTTAATTTTTAATTTAGTGTCACGTCAAGCGCAGGGTCTAGATAATGTTTGAGTCTAATGCTTGATAGACAGGATGACTTGACCGTAACGTAGGCATTGCATAGATTTGAGTGGGGGAGAATGTTATAAGTGAGATCGAATTTGAATGAAAATTGAAGTATGTATAAATAGGTGAATATACAGCACTATTTAACAATTTGAACTTTTGAATAAATGGATAAGCATCCACCCATTATATTATGTCATTACGAATTCCTGTCTCATGTCGGATTAGGTATGCAGAACTATAAAATAACAAAAAAAAAAAATTATTACAACTCACCAATCTAGTTGGAGAGTATCTAGCTTCCTCGCGAATATCCCATGTTCTTGACTTTTTTTTGTTCCTTAGAGCATCTCCAATAGACTTTTTAAAATTAGGCTTTCCGAATTTGCCATATCAGCATTTTTCAATAGTCACATCAGAATTTCTCATAGCCACGTCAACGTTTTAGAGTCTTTAAATTTTGGCTATCGCATGTACTCCAATGATGCATTTTTGCTCTCCAAAAATGTTAATATTTTAATACTTTTAAAATTTAAAATAAAATTTATTTTTTAACTTTTTTCTAATGGCTATATTTTTAAGACTATATTTTTTATGTTGTATTATTTTATTTTAAAATTATTATGAAGTTTATGCAATGGAATATTTATTGTGTAATGTTTTATTTTGAAATAAATAATTAAATTGTTTGTTAATTAAATTATTTAGCCAATATGTATGAGATCTTGTAAACAATACAATATTTAATATCATTTGATTTATTAATTTATAGCGAAAACAAAGACACATTTTTTTTAATAAAAAAAATCATATTTTAAAATAAATTTCAATTTGTTAGAGAAATCAAATAAAAAAAAAATTGTTTGGTTAGCCAATATAACCGTTAAGGCATTATTTGAGTCAGCTAAACAGTACCTAAAACGGCTATAATGTCAATAGGAACATTGAAAATTTTGAAAATGAAAAAAAATCACTTTTTCTAATTTTTAAATTTTTTTATTTGTCCCAAAAAGCCAAACAGTGCCTTAACGGCTCTTTGATTCAATTATTTTGAGGAAAAAAAAAAAAAGAGAGAGAGACTAAAGTAAGCCAAAAATATGAATTGTAACTTTTATTTTAGTCAAACATGCCCTTAGGAACAGTGTTTTGGACTGGTACAATATTATGAGACTGAATTAAAAAATTAAAAAATTAAAAAAAAAAAAATGGGCCCACAAAAAGTGAGCCCCAATCGCCTTCCCAATTGCCCTTTTTGGCGACTTCTTTGACTATCACAAATTGGTGGCCCACTTTTCCCATCTCCCATTGGAGCAAGCGGCCTCCAAATTTTGGGCCATTTTCGCAAACTGCTCTTAGTTTGCATCTTTATTTTTGGAATTAAGGGAATCAATGTGAGTTCAATTTTCCTAGTAGAAGAAGTATCACTAAATCATATAATTTTATAAAATCCCTTTCTATTCAATTTTGAGTCCAACTAAACTTTTATTTGACCTCAAAAAATTTAAAAAAAAATTTGAGTTAGGTTCTATTTATTTTTGGAAAAAAAATTGACAATAAACTCATGCATCCATCATATTCATATATTGCTCATATGGAGATTTGACTATTAATCATCTACTTTAACAGGTGAAGATGCACCGCTAAATTACATTACTTAATAAGTTCGTGTTGATTGTGTTTACTTAGGTTACATTATACTTACTAATATTTAAATAATTATATTAATAATACTCTATAATAAGTATCATATTTGAGTCTGAGAGATCTAAAAAACCTACTTGATCCCAATTTGAGGTTGGGTTGAAATTGTCAACTGAGTGTAACTCGTTTGAAAAAGAATTAGGTTGAATTAATTTATTTTCGTAGTTGTAACTCAGTAATAAATGATCACTGAGAAATCTAATTAGGGAGGAGATGAAAAGAATTTTTTGGTTTGTGTCCATTATTTCAAAATATATTTACACCCCACTTTTGAAAGATAATTTTATCATTTTATTTAATAAGGAATTCAAATGGAGTGCAAGAGGGATAAATGAAGTTATTACTCCCCCTCTGTATTCTTTTCTTTTTTCTTGTTTTGATTGAATAATACAAACACACTATTACAAAAGTGCTCTGTAGTTGCTGTTATAGTTAGTTAGGGTGTGGGCTGGGCTTTTCTGGCTTTGGGCCTTTGTTGAGGAGCTACTGGGCCTCCCCTCTGTATTCTTTTGTCCCTTTGTTATGTAATTTATTGATTTACCCACACACCACCAAATAAATAAAAAAAACATAATGTGAATATAAATGAAAATTTATGGACTTCAGTAAAGAAATAATAGAAATGAGTGGCTTGATATTTGTCCAAGACTTAACTAACTTCAAGATAACTACCAAATCAAACTTTGATTAATGTCCAAAAAATATCTCAATTGAATTATTCAAATCCACAAGATTACATGTAAAACTGCAAGTGCCAGTCTGCCAGAGATATAACTTGCGAGCAAATTAAGGTTATCAAAGGAACAAATAATTATCAATAAGAATGCATTTCAATTTTAAGGTGACAAGTATATGAAGCTAAACTAGTATTGAGTAGTGATACTCGCAGTAAATACTTTGTTCGTTCTCTCGCCTCGATCAAAGTGATATACTTTGTTCGTTCTCTCGCCTCGATCAAAGTGATAAAGCAGTAAATTGTGTAACCGAATGTGCTTTGAAACCATACCCTTGGTCATTGAATCATCCATCAAGTAAGTCCCACCACCACATCCAATGGCTGAAAACCTCGGGGGTTCAGTAATCCCAGGGTATCGTAAACTTTCACAAGTCTAGCAATTCACTATACCTACTAAGTGTCCAAAAAAAAAAAAAAAAAAAAATCTGACAGTTGAATGAAGAAATTAGTAGTTAATTCACATAGAACAAATATACAATACCAAGACTACATAGGAATAAAATAGATGAACCAAGAGTCTCAAAAAGGATATCAGGGTCATAGTTAATTTCTGTTTGATCAACTCTGATTCCACTGGATCAATTCAAAAACTGATTGTGTTCAATAGATGAGGGAAATGTCATGCCAAAAATTTAAAAACACAAGTCCTCCTACTGTCCCTGCTTCCCCTTTCCCTCTAGAATACCTAGCTCTAACCATGAGATGAGTCAAAAACATGGAAGAAAACTATTCAAAATATAACCAAAAGATGAGTCAAAAGAGAGACACCATCCAGGTGCATCTAAAGAAGCCCGTCCAACAAAGACTTGCCCTCGAACCGCTGGGATACAGCAGTCTTGTCTCTGATGGTATCGTTCAGCTCTTCAATCTCTAGTGTCTTCTGTTCCAATCGACGTTCTTTTGCTTCAATTTCAGACATAAGATTCTGCACTTCTGTTTTCATACCCTCAACCTGTTCCATGCACTGAGTCTTTATATCTGTTAATCTCTTAGCCTCCACATTTGATTGTACCACTTCTTCGATTTCATCAAGTCTCTCTTGCAGCCATTTCACATCAACTTTCATCTTTTCGGCGTCTTTCAAAATAGAAGAATAGGCAGACATGCGGCTGCAGTCCAATTCTGTCAGTCCAATTCTCTGAAGTTCTTGGACAATCTTGCATATTCCTATCAGGACAGAAGTCCGCATGTATTCGGACTCCAGTGAGCAATTTTTAGAAATATCCCCGTGCTTGTCCATTATTGCTTGAAAAATCGGGACTAGACTCTGGTTCACAACATTGGAGTCTGCTCGTGATGTGCTACTTGATGGGTGTTTAGCTCTGGTGTTAGCTCCCTCATTTTCACGGCTGCACTGAGGATAGTTGACTGATAGTTGAACTTCATGAATTGGGGAACCTTGGACTTCCTGAACACAACTAGTACTTGGCTGATCATTAACAGCAACATCTTGGGACTCTATCTTCATGTTCTGGCTATGCTGTTTATTCTGGAGAATGACTGGTGATGTATTTACATGAATAACTTGTTCGCCAAATTGTAAAGGTTCCGATTGATTATTACCATTTGATTGGAGAGATGGAGAAATATAAACAATGGTCCCGTTGCATGACCTGCTCGATGAATCCGCTGAAGCTCGAGCTGGAATAAGAAAAATTATTAAGTATTTCAAAGAATAAACCAAACTAGAACCAAAGCAGAATGAAATTGGAACGAGTTAGCAGAGGATGATAAACAGGGTAGTCATTTATAAATACAAACAAAAACGGCCCAGGCATTAATTTGACAGACAAAAAATCTCAAAGTCTAACTCATCTCTTAGCAAACACCACGCATCAGTAACAAAACCCACAAGGAATTTTAACAAATTTGTTTTTGTTGTAACAAGACTTCTACATTGAAGTTAAATAAATAACACACCACTTGTTTTTTCTCAGCTGTTTGTCATATCAATATAAACCTGAACAGAAGGACACACCGGTGAATCAAATGACAATATGGCCTAAGAGAAAAATACATATCACTTAAAAAACTTTTTATGCTGCACTAGTATTACGGTAGAAGAAGCATTAGTCAAATGCCATGGCTGATTAGACGCTTCCTAGTTTTTATTTGTATTTTTTAGCTAAGTATGACTAATTAGACACATACAACCAAAAACCGGAACAAAACTACATTTAATAAAGAATAATGCAAGTTTAACATCGTACTAAAATAATAATTCTCAATGTCACCCTAATAATTATAATTGACAGCATTGAACAAGTTGCGCCCTCTCTAAAAGTTACCCTTTTGGGGTAATTGGGGTCTAGTGTCACGAATAACCACATTTTTATGCCGAAAGAATAAAAGGAAAAAGCAGTATCAGTGCTTAGTACTTACTTACTAGGATATTATGATCAACACACTTGGGGACGAATTTTTACTCTAGCCACACATATAGTAACACCTCTCTTATTAGAAAAAAGTAAAAGAAAATCACATACACAAATATTACCAATAAGACACCAAAAAACTAGTCTTAACCAAATAATAAAAAATAAGAAATTTACAAAATAATTATATGCAATAATTTCAAGATTGTGACTTTTTCTTTGATAGGGATAATTCTTCTTTACGATATTACAATCAAATTTTACTAATAAAATTAAATAAATAAATAACTCAACAATCATCCAATGTCAATGGTTGATCTCATAACATTGCCTCCAACCTTATAAGGAAATATTTATCTCCTTATAGCTTATGTATATGAAATATTTATCTCCTTATAGCTGACTTGTTTAAGATATTTATTTTCTTATAGTTGATGTGTCATAATATCTAGGATTTCAATATTTTAAAAATAAAAGAAAAGTTAAACAAATGTAATATCGGTTAACTCCATTATACTTGGGTCAAATTGATTTAAGTGATTTTCATGTACTGCAACTATATTATGACACATCAACCGTGAAGAGGCGCATACCCTTACAAGGCTGGAGACAAATAATAGAAGAATTCCGGCAATCATATACTCCTAACAAATATGCAACTCGGGCGCGCCCAACCTGAATTAACCCCCCAAAAATTTCAGGGTTTGGGCAGTGGGCCTGGGCTAGATATTCTGAGCCCGAATTAAATTCGGTCTGGGCTGGGTTGATATCATATGAAGCCCAAACAGCCCGAAAAGAATATATTTATTTATAACTAAATTATATCACAAGTGTATTTTTAGCTTAGTTGGAGATTTTTTTTTTTTTTTTTTGGAGGCATGCTGTTTGACTCCTCGTAGCTCACAAAATTTTCTATTTTTTTTATAAAAAATATACAGTATATATTAATGAATAGAAAGGCTAAACAAGGTAAGGAACACAAATTAACAATAAATACATGTATGTAGATCCCACTAATTTCATAGTAACTTTTTTTAATCAAAATTTTTTACATGTATATGCGGAATGTGTACATAGAACATAATGTAGCATACAAAATTACTGATAATTAAGAGAAATACATACCGAGCTGTACCCGGCCAGAACCCGATGAGCGACCTTTGCGGCGTTTGTAGGTGGGCGAAACTGGTTCGGGCGGTGAAGGACCAAGCATTTGTGACTTCTTCCTTCTTCTGGTTATGCGTTTTTCATTATCATAACAATTCATGTCAGACCTTGATATTTAGGTTAAAAAACTATATAATAATCTTGCACTATTTGAAGAAATTTATGCACCACAAGAGTTGCATGTGTAGTATAACGGAAGCCCAGGGAAAATCCCAAAGGTACCAAAATACTGACACGAGATAGTAAAAAAAGAAACCAATAACCTAATTTGGATCCAATTTCATTGTGACAAACATATCACAGAGCTTACTTTTTGGGAAGATGTAGAAATTCTGAAGCAATTGATCGCTCAACTAACATTTTACAGAAACTGTTATGGATCTGTGTTTGTGTTTGGACACGTGAAGATGAAAAAAGGAAGTAGAAACCTTAGATTTGAAATCAAAGAGGAAATGAAAGAGTGAGAGGAGAGGAGGGGAGGGCGAAGGAAAAAGTGAAATGAATAAGTACAAAAATTTGAGCCTGGAAGCATTTTAAAGTTACAACCGTGAAAGGGAAAGGGAAGTGAGTTACGGAAGGGAAGTGTTGAAACAGGGATTAATTGGAGGGCACTCGCTGTCCACCAAAGGAGGGATGTCAATTTTTACCGTCCTGCCCCATCAATAACAGATATGGAAACACTTTTTATACGGTTAGGAAAGGTATGGATATAAATTTTGTACCCATCGCGAGTCACGGGGCAGATAAGGGTTCAGTATACATATCCTAGGGGCCCCGCCCCGCCCCGGAGGGCGAAGGAAAAAGTGAAATGAATAAGTACAAAAATTTGAGCCTGGAAGCTTTTTAAAGTTACAACCGTGAAAGGGAAAGGGAAGTGAGTTACGGAAGGGAAGTGTTGAAACAGGGATTAATTGGAGGGCACTCGCTGTCCACCAAAGGAGGGATGTCAATTTTTACCGTCCTGCCCCATCAATAACAGATATGGGAACACTTTTTATACCGTTAGGAAAGGTATGGATACAAATTTTGCACCCATCGCGAGTCACGGGGCAGATAAGGGTTCAGTATATATATCCTAGGGGCCCCGCCCCGCCCCGCCCCGCCCTGTTAAGCATATAATTATATTATATTATATTATATTATATTTTATATATATATATATATATATATATATATATGTATGTAAACTTGGTATTAAATTTGTTTTTGTTTTGGTTATGGTGGAAGTTGGAGTTTAGAACTTTTTGTGATTTAGTTGTATTAAACTTTTATTTTTGTTTATTATGTTATCCGAATTATGTTATGTGCATGTTATTTTTTTTTTTTTTTTGTTGGGATACATAATTTCATTTATGATGTATCATTCCCAGACTTTCCACATTCAAATAGCAGGAGCTTAAGTTCCAAAAAGTGGGAGAAAAAAATTTATTAGCGGAGCGGGCACGGGGACACAGTATTTCCCAATGGGGCGGGGCTGGACATGAAAATTCAACCCGTCGAGGGTCTCGGGGCGGGCATGGACTTGATAAAAATTAAAAGGGACGGTGTAGGATTTAGGAAAACCCGCTTCAAACCCGCCCCGTTGCCATCCCTACACGAAAGCGCTACTTGTTAATAGTACGTTTTCCTAGGCATAGAGACCCAGAGAGTTATTTTCTTTTCTCTCTCGTGAGTTCAAAGTATTCGCTTGAGTTTTTGGGTTTTAGCCTATGCAGCTTACTTTGTTTTGGGGCTTTTGTTTTGTTTGTTGGACCTCTGTGTATGTAAACAGCCATTGCTAGCGCTGCTCGGGCGGCGGGCCCAATTCAAAATAATTCTAGCCTAATTCGAATTTTTATGGGTTTAGGTAATATTCAAAAAATTATATATATTTATAATTATACTTAAGTCATAAAAGTGTAATAGCTAAGTTGATAGTGTGCTTGAAATTTATGCTTAAGGTTCTAGATTTAAGTCATGGGTGTAGCATTAATTGATTTATTTTTTATACAGATTTTCTATCTCGGTTAGGGGTGTACCATTAATTGATTTATTTTTTACACACAAATTCTTCTGAGGTGGATTGGTCTCTGGCAGCTCGGCTCAGGCTTAAGGCAGGTTCGAGTTGAACTTAGGTTGAAGATTTTCTATATAGGCCTAACCCGAGATGAGTGCCAAGCCCGTCCAACCCGCCCGTATTGCAGTCCTAGCCATTGAGCTAAACTATTTTAATATTTACATACTAGCCCAAGGCATGTGCATAAAATATTATCTAAAGATGAATGTATTTTCATATAATATATTATTAATTAAAATCATATAAATGAATATGATTAACATTAAAAATCATAAATAATAGGGAAAGAGTTAATAAATTCCCGATGCTACTAACTATGGCCCTTATTAGTTGTTCATCTTTGGTTTTATAACTTTTTAAGAAAATATGTAATTAATGCATTATCCTCTTTTAAAATTATCAAATTATTCTTTTTAATTTAAATATATATAGTTACAAAGTTTGAATTTTTTTTAAAAAAATAAAGGATAATGATGGAAATAAGGTACTTTGACGAGATAAAGGACGAGATACATATGAAGACAACAAAAATTGACAACTTTTTTTTTTTTTTTTTTGGAATTGAGACTTCACATTTTTTTTTTTTTTGGTTTTTGGGAAAGAGGGAATAAATATACATACATGATACATATATACTCTATAAAAAGCAAAGACCTATATTTTCATTATGCTATAGTGAAGGTCATAGCATTTAAAGCAAGAGCAGACCTTCACTGACCATTGCAGCCTCTGCAATCTCGGTACTGTAGTCCCAAAGCCACGAAATTAAGTGTTGTGGCGGACAGTGTTGACTGGTAAAGTAGTCTGGAAATACGTCAGGTAAAACTTTTTTTTACTGGTTTTTTTTAACCATTATGCTGTGGCCATTCGAAGTTACTCCTGGCTATAATTGATTTAGCTGCCAA